AGTTCGTTGGATATCACTTACTTGCTGATTGCGCAGTCGATGCGCCGATAATGAAAACGGTCCCTTTGAACTCGGAAACGTTTTGCATCTAGGCGTTTTATAATGATCTCAATTAGATCTTATTTGTCTCCTCGCCGCCTAGTGAGTGACAGTCATAGTGTTATTTCAAGTCACGTCGTGTTCTAAATACACGGAAAAGAATCTGGAAAAAGGGACAACTTTAAAAACGCATGCGCTATTTTTCCAATCTTGGTTCAAAACAAAGATGATGTAAACTGTCTGAATAGTAACTATTGAGCCAATATTGTCATGCGTATTCTTTGTGCCTTCATGTTTGGGAATAAAATGCTAATTAAATCAGTAATTTTCAGTTCAAATCTTTGATTTGTACATTTTTATTAAAAGTTGACCGGTTGTGATCGGTCTCTTTGGAAATGAATCCCGGGAACGAATTTCGGTTAAACAACATTTGAAGTAGCCTGTGAAACTAAACATTTTAAAACATTTGCGACAAATGCTGTGTGCCGGAACGTTTTACACACGATTAGCTCTCAGTCTGGAAAGAGGGTCGCGTATCTTGAATTCTGCCTAGTAAGTAAATTAATATAGTATTCTGGTGTCTTTATTTCAGATAACTCGTTTGAAGATTGACTCTAACCCTTTTGCTAAAGGATTCCGAGATTCTGGTAGAGTAAGGTGAGAGGACAGTGGTAAAGTTATTTGAGGGGGACATTGGGGGGTACCCAATACCGCAATACAGTAAGCAAAATTGGCATATACCGAAATACCGTGTCGAAAATCGACGAAATATCTGAATACTGCATTTATGATTGGTCACGCTTACTTCACGTTGTATCCATCTCGCGTGTTTTTTATCTCAAGCATGTATACACCAGAAATCAACCTCAGCCTTCGCGAGAAAACGGAAGATCTCGAATTGGTCGGTACAACGATCGAAAAGCCAGGTTATTGAATTTCATCATAAAGTAACCGTCAGAAATTGTGTATTCATTTACCGTTAATTCTAAAGTCTTCCAAATATTCACCTACATTAGCCAGGAGAGGCCAAATGAACAGTACTGCAATACCGTGAAGGATCTTCTTTTACCGAATACTGTTAGCCAGAAGGATGAAAAGCCTCATACCACAGGGCTGGATGATACCGCAATACCGCACATTAAAATCAAAATTACCAAAATACCGCTTGAAAAAAAAAGCTCAATAACGCAATACCGTAAACACCATGTCCCCCTCTTATTTAGAAGCAACTAAAAAGGAACGTATCTAGTTTAGACACGTCTGATGTATCTCATAATATATCGTACAGGAGAAACTCCAGAAATTCAGTTTTCTCATTTCTCGAAGGTTTCCCTTGGTGAAAGAAAGAAATCAATTAAAAAGCTATGCCTTTCGTACTACTTATTTCTGTTATTGGTATTATCTCAGTATATATATTTTTTTCAGAATATTCCAAATTAGAAAAATATTTAATGTGCGATATCCAAGTATCTATACCTATGTGCCTAAATTAAGGCTTTTTTTTCGATATAGTACAAGGTATACTTAAGATGTTGTGTCCATAGCTTCCTAAAATAGAAGTTGGCATGACTTAAGTTTAAGAGATTTCAATGAAATATTTTATTATCAAAGCTTTATATGGTGGCAGGGTCCCAAAAATAAGATTCGGCATCGATTTAGTTGAAGTGTTTTAAATTGATTAACAGAGATCCCATGGAAGAGATAATGCAAGCTTACTCGGCTGCTTCAGCTTACTACAGACCTCCTGCAAGAGCTCCTGTGTATTCGAATTTCGGAAGAGATGAACAGCTTAGTCAAGGTAAGTGAGGAGGATTATTTACCTACTACTGTCAATCTATTTTAAGCATTCCTGTAGTTTCAGAGGCTTATGGCGGCTAGGGATGAACAGATCTGGTCTTTTCTAGACTTGAGGGGCGAAATGTCCAAACAGGGAAACAGAAAAAACGTCCAAACGCGAAACAGCGAGAAGCAAGGAGAAACGGCTGTATTCGCAGGCTAATAGAACGATGGAAAGGCATTACCGTAAATAATAATAATAAAAAAATGAACAAATGATAACTTCAGCTCAAAATTATAATATCCTACATCAAGATTAATTTCAACTCAACTGAAAATTTACAAAGTTCGAGCAAAAACTCATCCTCATAATAATAAAACTTTATTTATTCAGCGCCATTTCCAGCTATGTTCGATAGCGCTTTACTGTATACCCAGTCTTTTATTCTCTAACAAAATGAGTTGGGAAATTAATTGGCATTAGGAAATAAGAGTATCGGGAATTAGTCATGATTTTGCTATTTACTTTAGCACTTGGATTCGAAGTTAACTGTGAGAGACAATATCTCGAGACAAATATAATTTAAAAGCTATTGTACAGTTCATGGGTTACTAATCTACTTCAACTTTGGCCATCTGATCGTCCACAGTAGACTTTCCCCTTGTTTCATATTAAAAGTACTGAATTTCTAACCTCGTTATAATAAAAACGGATATTCCGCTAAAAGGCTTAACAGCATTCAATCCTTTTGTTTTAGTAAAAGGATGGTTTGTTTAAAGTTTCACAAGCCATAATTTTATTGTTGTAGATCAAAGCCCTTGTTCTCAACATGCAGCGGTAGCATCTCCATATCAGAGTGTTCCTCCTATCAGTCCAACCCTGTCACCACAAACTTCACCAACATGTACCTCAAATAATGCTTTCACTGGCTATAACGGACATGCGTGTTTATCGTCCATCCCACACGGAGCTATGGTAACCAGTCCGTATCAAATAAATCCTTACTGCGCAGTTACAGAAACATATGGGACTTTCAGCCATGTATTTCATTCACCGGTATCGCCGTTTTCACCATGCACAGCCAGTGGTGTAAGTAGCCAATCGGAGAACATGATTCCAATTAGTCCGATTTCTAATCACCCGACCAATGGATTTCAGACAAATCACTTCACTTCTGCGCATGCCTTTACGGCGCATACCGGATAAAATTTGGACGATAATTCATCCTCGAGGTCCAGACACAATTCCTTTCAAAACAAGGTCAAATGCAAACTTTGAAGGTGAAAATGAGTTCTTATTGAATTGTTTGATGTAAATAATCTTATATATGCATAACACAAATACAGTGGAAGCTCTCTTAAGCGGACACACTCGGGACGTGAAAAAGGTGTCCGTACCGGAGGAGCTGGCCGCTTACGGGAATGTAACAATACAGAGTTTGTATGGGAGTTAAGAAAAAGGGAGTTTTGTGAAGACGGCTGTGATTAGAGCTGTCTGCTCACGACAGTGTCCGTTAGGAGAGCTTCCACTGTATCAGATCTGTACAATTCTAATAATCAGTATCCTGTTGTAGTTCATAGGAAAATCAGTATCTTGATGTGATTGTGGTTTTGTTAGCATATTAAACGAAATAAAAAATTTCTATTCTTTTATCCTTTCGATTAACAGGTCTGACCGTGCAGTTGACCCTTTCAGGGCCATATGTTGTCGTTTTCGTTTCTCCTGATCTCGAGGCCCAAATCCTAAAAACGCTCTCATATTGCTTTGGGTTCCTTCGGTTGTGTGATATTGGTCCATTCGTGAAAAGGAACAAATCAATTTAAGGGGCGTCACTTTTTTTTTTTGAAAACTGCTTGTTCCTCTGCAAATGAGAGACTGGGGAGAGGGTAAAACAAAGCACTTGGTGGAATATGGGGAGGGAAGGGCTATTATACCATTTCCTTTTGGAATAGGGGATAGAACTACTGTCGACAAGAAATACACTTGTGAGTTTGTACCTACAAATCTTTTTGGTCTCCTGGGTTTTGTCCTTAATTTTAGCGGATTACCCCTTCTTTACACAGCTTGGCACAGGAAAAGTATGGCGTTTAACCCAGGTCTTAGAGAACTTCACTGAGTTCGTCTTGTGCATGCTGTGGTTTACCGTTACCCTTAGCGAATAAATTAGCTCCGTCTGTTTTAGGGTAGGGTTGTGCATGATACTGACTTTTAAACAAATGAAACATAATTTGAGCGAAGATTATATTCCAACCACAACGCATGTACAAATATTGTGCAGTTATAAGGATGCCCCCACCCCTTTTTCCGAGGCGCCTGTTTCACTGACTGAAAAATTATCTTTTTTCATGTATTCAACATTTCGGTCCTAGCCGTATGTAGGATATTTGTCACTCGAACCTATTTTATTGGCCGTAGTCCTCACAAGTAACTTCCATCTGGACTATAGTAACCAGAAGGTGGTTCGCATGGGGTCCACTCCTGTTGGGAGTGACTCGTATTTTTCTTCCGAGCCGCCGCCTGTGTCACTGACTGAAAAGATCGTCAGATCTTTCTCAAGAGAAAACAAGTTTATAGTTTTAGCAATATATCAGAACCTTAAGCAGTCCAGAATGGTGAGTCACGAGGACCACTGATTCACGCGCCACTCAGAACGAGTGGTACTTTTCTACACTGATGTTTACGCTCCTCGGCGACATCAACGACGAAAATTTTCCCAAAAAGATCCACGAATTGTTTGGTTTATTCATTGTGCTAGTTTCACTAGCTCTTTAAGAGTACAGCCTAAGTTGTGATTCTCAATGCATATCGTCTCGGCCTAGTGCCCAAAGAAACGCTCGATTTTCCTTTTAAAATTTACATCAGTTTCGGTGCATGTTTTTAATGAGCTTCCTACCTAGCCTGAATTTCAGACGGTTACTTCGAGTCGTTGGGAGTAAAAACGACTCGTGGTTATCGTCTGAAATTCAGGCTACTTCTTACCGCTATGTACAAAAACTAGCAGGCATGTCACCTTGGTATAGATCTCTAACCTTGTGGAAGTTTTAAGTGACTGAATTGTGATTACGTTTCTTTTCTAAAAAGGTTTCTTTTTTCTGATACACTAGACATATTCGCTACCTACAAACGGGTTTGTTTACAGCCTTCTTACATCTAATTGGAAGGGAAATACGCATGTTATACAGAGTTATTTTCCTGAGCCGTTAGTATTATGTCTTTCCTCATTTTGTCCGCTCGTTTCCTTGTCACGATGTACGTGCCATCCGGGAAGGTTAATCTCTGACCAATTGCGAATTGATCTGTTTCCCAGTCCACTTTTTATCTGCTGAAAAATCCGTCTAACATCTTCTCTAAACTCGCTGTTTAATAGAATATGACAGAATGGGTTCGTCAACGAAAAAGTTATCATCATACAAAAGATAACGGTACCATCAAGAGACAAAAGTCCCGGGGATTCGCCGTCTCCCATGGCCGTTGCAAGGCTGTAGTGGTAAAAAGGATACAAACAACCAAGAAAGAAAAGAACCTCGATGACAAGGATGCGTGCAGCTCTCAAGTTTCTACGATGACGGTTTTGAGAGCTTTGGGAAACATCAGATGGTTTTATAACCGCATCTCGTCGAAGCTTTAAGATAATCCTCATGTAAGTTATTGTGAATGCAGCCCCAGGAAGCCATTGTGTACCTGTGATCAATAGAAGAAGACCAGTTGTTACAAAGGTCCCTTTTGAGCCAGGTTGACAATGGGCGTGGCCGTCATCGTTCGTGACAAGCGTGACTGCGATTGAATACCAAACACTGGCAATGAATCCGAGAAACCACGAGAGTACTACCAAGCACCTAGCCACACGAATTGACATCTGCAAGAAAGAAATTCAATTATTACTTAAAACGAATTAATTTGTAAAAATCATCCATTCTATCACCTTTGGAAACTTAAACTATACTAAACTGTGCAACCCCATTCTAGTGCGAACTAATTTAACAACGGGATTTTCGACTTCTCCCAAACATTTGTGAACACGCTATGGCTTTTAGATGCTTACAAAAAAGAAAGAAAGAAGGAAGGAAGGAAGCACACGCTTGAACCACATTGTTTCGAGTAAATTTTTCTACCGAAAATATGACGAGCAGTTCCGAATAAGGTACAACTTAAAGTTTTGTCAATGCCCCCCCATAATATTGATTTCATTAATATTTGATAAAATGTAAAACTTTATAACGCACTATAATCATAATCAAATACGCGATTTGCGCAATACCCCTGATCATGAATTATAATAAAGTGTTAAACTGGGCCTTTTTATAGTTTACTTACTTGTTTCCTCAAAGGATGCACAACAGCCCGGAATCTTTCGATGCTCATAAACAGCAACGTCAAAATCGACACTGTAAGGCTGTTCTGCAGAATGAGAAATACACTTTTACAGCCTGCCAAACCCAATTCTACAGGCCATGAATCATATGCAGAATAAAACAGATAAACGGGTATAAATAGAAAAATCCGGACCAAATCAGCGATCGCCAGGTTCAGGTTGAATAAATTAGTGACATTGGTGATTCTCCCTTTTCGTAAAATCACCGAAAATAAAAGAACATTTCCCACTGTTCCAAATGCAAACACAACGGAAAGCCATATTGATCTGATGATGTGATCAGCAGATCTTTCGCCTAAATTTGGCGAATGATTCCCACTACTGATGTTTGTTTCATTCCAAACCAAGTCCATTTTGTTTGAAAGAAGTCGAAATTACATCTTGATTTCTTCACTGTTTGCGCCAAAAATAGATAGCTTTATAAAAAATATTACTGATTTGGTAATTAAAAATGGTTTCTTGTACGCTCGGATTTATGTGGACCAATAGTTGAAGTCTTTTAAAGAATTCTTGATGCGTACAATAATAGATGATGATGTATATTACTATAATCACTGATATTAAGGACCACAATATTTATGAGTCATATGTCCTTCGTCTTCCCTGGTCGGCCTTGTCTTGAAAGCTGATTTGTCGACCATAAACCTTTCTTCTCTTTCTTAGTCGCGAGGTAAATCATACAAAGAACTTCAGTGTTTCACTGCTTAAGTCCTTGACTCTTCTATCTGCTTTTCCAAATTGTTTTTTGCCTCCCTTTAAAAATAGAAATTACTTATTTCAAACTGACAGGATGTTTCCTTTAATTTATTACCAGAAAAGACAAAGTCAATTATCATTGTTTACAAAAGAGGCTTGCCACTCCGCCAAACTTGCGATTTAGACTTGATTATTGTTTGCAATAAGTTCTTTGTCAATTTATAACTGATCAGATCGAAAGCAACTCATACATTATCAGAAGTTCGAGTTTCTAGTGAAAGCGGTTAATATAAGCAGTTAAAGTTTTTAGCGAATATAACTTACATATTTAGAGTCGCTTCAAGAGATTATGAACATAGATAAGCACGATAAGAAGATACTACATCTGCGTCTACATCGATATTCGAACTTCAACAAATACTAATTAATATATGAGAAAAAAGACGTGATAGGAATTAATGAAAATGGCGATGAAAGTAGGCCTACACTATTGTTAAGCAGATAATCGAGAAACTGGCGCTCTTGACACTAAAAAAACACTGGACTAAAAACTACCAGATTTCTATTTTTAAAGCTTTTTTTGCACTGTATTTTTTAGTTTCCGTCGAGTCTACTTCGAGTTCGACCGCCCATCTGGAAAATTCCCTCCAGTTCTCTTACCCTTTTCCTGAACCGTTTGTTATCATGCTAATTGGAATTAAATTTCTCCTTTTTTTAATTACTTCTGTTAGTTCTAGTGTTTTATGCCATGCTAGCGGGAACTCAATCATGACTTTATTATTCTGTGTCCTGTAATTGTGGCCAATGGTTATTACTTTATCAGGTAAAAAAGTGTTCCCTTTCTCAGGCGATAACAAAGATTTTTTCTCCTTCCTGCGAACTGCTAATTCCTGGGAAATTTTCACGTACAAGTAAAACACATCCGAAATATTCTGTTTTTACTGTCACCGTTTGAGTTTTCTCGTTAGTCTTCTTACTGAACACCTCGTATTTCCGAAATACTTGAGTTATTATTGTAAAACCTGTAATTGTTTATTGAGGGTGTTTGTGCAAATATTTCGTTGCCCGTTGTTTTCGTCCTTTTGTGTAATATCATTGCAGGTGTTTCGTTCTAATGGAAATTCACCTTACCCTAGCTTGTCACGTCCCTTGCGGCACTTACGGCTTCACAGAGTTATTATACTTTGCCTTTACTTTCTAACTGAACATGGAAGATTCTTTTGTAATCCTTGATTCTTATTGTGGCCCACCTAAGAAAATATCTGTTTGGGTAAAGTGATAAAAAAATACGGCAGGGGAAACGAACCCCGGAGTGAGGAAGTCCCTAAGTATGTGCTCAATCTATATTTTCATGAAGCCGGATTTAAGGCGTTAATGTCGCACTTCATAAAACACACCATCAAAGTTGCAAAAAAACTAGTGAAAAATATGTCAGTAAAGTGTCACACATTAAACTATGTCGAGTAGAAAAGGTGGCGCAGTTTTCACTGTAAAGAAATACATAGGTTTGGTAAAATGAAAGTACAAGCTATCACATTTTAATAAATAACTGGCGGTGAGATGGCAAGAGAAATAACCTACGACAAGTGTGCGTTCTAATAAGCGTGAGTGCCTCCGTAATACTGAGTAAGCGAACAGTGTTTTTATTAACTAGACAATTATATCATTGAAAACAAAGACAGTGACTTATGTAAAAAAACCAAATTCGATTTTAACCTTTAGGGGAAAGCTCTTCGTATTTCTGAAATACTGGTACTGATTGAAAGACTCGTTAAGGTTTATTGAAGCAAATTTCTCTTTCCCCTGTTTTTGTTTTGTTTTGGGTAATTTAATTGAAGGTGTTTTAATTCAATGAAAATTCACCTCACCCTACGTCTCTTGATGTTAAAGCTTCAAAGCAATTTACACTTTGTCTTTACTTTCCAATTAGACATGGAAAAAGTTTTTCATACAATCACTTGATAAAAGCTTGACAGATATTAATGTCATATAGTGGCAGGAGAAACGACTCCCCAAGACGTAATCGTATTCCTCCTCCTCATCATCCATTATACATCAACATCATCATATTTTTACAAAAGGCAACTAACTACTGTGAGGTGCATAACATCAACAACAACAATGTTCAAACTGAATGTTATGTTTGGACGCCTCACAATAACAAGTAAGTACTATTAGAATTATATAGGCTGATTTTTTATGATGATTTTTTCGTTTCAAATCTCCAAAGTAGCCAATATATAAAGCAAAGAGTGCAAGCATTACTTTTTTTAGCTTCTCCTCCTTCTCTTCTTCTCGTTTTTCTATTTTCTGTCGGCATTTTTTACTTTTGAGTAGTTTGATTGTTGAGCTTACGGCGGTCCCAAGAAACCTTTTCTGCTTTTTTTCCGTTAAATGGCTTAAATTTTCGTTATCTGGCTTCATTTTCAATAATCCAGCTAGAAATATATTTATTTTACAAATACATGCCGTTTTGCAAGTACTTAATCAGCTAAGTAAAACAATTTGTGTACAAGTCTGCAAGTTGAAAAATTTACAAGCAAAACTAGAGTAACACCGTTCCTTTACAGCTCCGCCATGAGTAATGTCATTGATGGCTCTTAGTGATACCATTAAAACGGGAAGACGGGCCAGAATCGTGGTCTTCGGATGATTTTTCGCCTGAACAAAGGAAAACACGAGAAAAGAGCCGAAATGCGTTAGAAAGCGAGAGCAAAGACGAAATTTTGAAAGCGCACAATATGGTCGCCGGTCTAGGATCGAAAGTTGACTTTATTTTGAACAAACTAAACACGTTGGATAGCATCGAAGTGCGTCTACAGAATCTGAATAAGTCGGGGCCAATATGGAAGAGTCCTTCGCAATTATTGAGAAAGATGTAGAAGTCCTAAAGGAAAAGACAGAGAAGACCAATCAAAAGGTAAAGGACCTCGAGGAGAGCGTTGACTACCACGTCCAAGATATGGGTGACCTACAGCGAGATGTGAAAGGCTTACGACATGATGTGGACAATCTTAAGATGCAACTTCTTTTCCAAGGGCATTATAGCAATTCCTTCGTTACTCCGACCTCGAAGAGGTCCTATTTAAGGCAAGGAAGTTGTTAAAAGACAAGACTTATAGTGTCTTCCTCAGGTAAATTAAGGCATGGGCCCCAATTTGCCTTAACTTGCTCACTTCGAAAGTGAGGGAGTGGTCTAAAACTAAGAGATTTAGATGTTGTGGCCGACTTCGAAAGTTGTACTTGGCATCTGAAGGAGTTTGGTTGTTACTCACAAGAGAAAAAAAAAGAAACACTTTAATCCTCAGATCTTCAGTTTATCTCCAGATAATCTTTAACTCTTCAGTTCTTCAGATAACAACTTAGTCTGCCTTACACGATACGGATTAGCGAAGGATTACGCGGATTGTAAACCTAAATCACACACGTGACAAACAAGAACATGGCGGCGACTGGGACGAGTCCTAAGCAAAATGGTAACAACCGTTGACCATAAATGCTGAGCACTCCTTACTACAGCACTGCTGTAGTAACAGATGTAGACACATAAACTTTGCCAGCTGCACACATTTTTAGTTTGCGCCAATTTCGTGTTTTAAAATTATGCAATTTAGGTCACGTGACCTCCATCAGCTGAAAAAGCTTGTTCTTGAAACGGCAACACTTTTTCGTGTGTCCTCAATTATTTTACCGGTTGCATATTTTATTTCTGTGCTTGGCCTTTTTTAGAAGGCGTTAAGATCTGCTAAAACTGCCTTGGGGGACTGGGTCTAGTTGAAAAAACCGTTTATTTTCTAAAACAGTAAAAAATTCAAAAAGCACAGTTTTGTAGATAAATCCTTGACTTCGCGGTGATAGCTAAGCGGTAGCAGATCCAGATGGATCAGTCCAGGCTCTCTTTGTAGGACAGTTCACCTTGTTTGATTTGTAGAAGCCAGCGTGTAGCTCTTCTCTGAACCCATTCAGCTTTCTGCTTTAAAGTTGAGTGGCTGGGAGATAGCACTTCAGTTGCATAGCTCATTTGGGACTTCACTTGTGCCAAGTACAAGAATCTTCTAACCTTGACGTCGGTCAGCATGGGACAGGTGCGACGAAGAAGACCGAGTAGCTTATTCACTTTAGCAGTAACCATAAGAACTTGAGTTTCCCACGTTAATTTGCTTGTTATCATGACACCGAGATCTTTCTCCTCCATGGTTCACGCGTTGTAGGTCAACGTGGCCAAGGTGGTAGTCATAGCGGACTGGATTTTTCTTCCGCGTCACTGTTAAGACCTTGCACTTTGACGCGTTGAAATTAATATTATTGTGAAGACTCCAGGAATCCAGGTTTGTTAGTGCTTGCTGCAATTTATCTGCATCTAGATATGAAAAGATACTTCTATACAGCTTGGTGTCGTCTGCGTAAAGGGCTGTCAGAGTACCATCAGGCAAGGCACTTGGCAGGTCGTTGATAAAGATTATGAAGAGTATTGGGCCAAGCAGACTTCCTTGAGGCATTCCGGAGGTTAATAGCTACAGACTCTCCGAACAAAAACGATTTTATCAAAACCTATACATAACGAATGATTCTGTAGATCGTACTTTAATAGAAAATTTGAGCCCATATCTCTTGTCAATGCAGACCCTAAGATAATAACAAAAGTGATTGCCAACAG